TAATAATTATTTTATTTTTTTGAAAAAAAGAAACATCTCTAAATAAAAGTGTTAAAGTTGAATAAGAAAAAGTATAGGATTTTAATTAGTAAAAATTGTGTAAATTAAAATTTTGTATTTTCTCCATAGTTGTAGAAATAAAAGTGTGATAAGTAAATTACACAATAAAAATACTTACTAAAAGTTTTTTTTTTTTATCTTAATTGCACAATGACAAGTAATTATCTCTCGTCTCTTATCCCACTCAACCCGTGTGTTATGCAACTCGAGTTCGAAATCTCTTATTTCCAACAAAAAGAAATAACTATTGAACTATTTAAATTGTTAACTACTTACTAAAAGTTAAGCATACTATTTTCTTTGTAATTTGAGGTTCAGGTACTCTTATCACCAACTGCCTGGGACAACACAGACGCAATTTACCTCAGATATTTTTAATGAATAATAGAGGATAACAACTTCTTCTAATTATCATTGCCTTCATTTAAAAATAAAAAATTTTAAAAAGGAAAAGAAAAGAAAAACCCTAAGTAACTTCAGTTAACGAGATTAGGCTGGTTCGCCAAATCGGGATTGGACGATTTCCCCTTTTTTTATTTTTTTTATCAATCAAATTATACTAGAGAAAAATAAAAATGACTGAAGCCTGTTAATTGGATTGGTTTTGTCATTAGTACAAGAAGTTTTGCACACTTTTATAGTAAGAATTCGAATATGTATGCTCCTCTGATCCTCTCCATCACTCTCTCGTTAAAAACTTATTTTTAATCTTTTACCTTAATGAGTTTATAAGTTTTAACGCTCACATTATATTAAATACTTTTAGTTTTTTATTTTAATAAGTTTGTAGGTTTTAGCCCTTTACTTTATAATATAATATTTTTAACCCTTCATCTATACGAATTAAAGAAAATAGCCCTCACTTAATATCAGGTTATAACATTCTGTTAATTCTGTTAATTGATTGTTAACTATGTTAATTGACTATTAACATCCGTTAGCATTCCATTATAGAAAACATGAAATTTAAATTCAATCTTATCTATTAGTTCCGTTAACGGAATGCTAACGAAACATTATAGTCAGCTAATAAAACTAATAGAACATTATAACTTGACCTTAAGTAAAGGTTATTTATTTTAATTCGTATAAGTGAGGGGTTAAAAGTGTTATAGTATAAGGTGAGAGACTAAAACCAACAAACTTATTAAGATAAAGGGTTAAAAACGTTATAATATAAAATAATAGGTCATAATAGATTATGACCTACAAACTTATCAACATAAGGGGCTAAAAGTAGATTTTAGCCCACTCTCTCTTTACAGGATTAAACCATTTGTTCAAGTATATATATATATATATAGTAGAATTAAAATTAGGACATCTTAAAAATTATTTATAAAATTATTTAAATATTTTTAATAAATTTTTTTAATTTGTTAATTTTTTTAAAAATATTTAATTTATTATTATTATTTCTTACATTTTAGTACTCCTACATAAAATAGATTTTAAGTGGAACTGCACAGAAAGTAAAGTATGGATTAAAAAATTATCCGAACATGAGAAATGGTACATATAAGAATTCAAACTTTTCAAACTATATTGATCAAGCATCATAACTTTTTTTTAACCAATCCTTTGGATCCAATGGTTTGTCTTCAAGTTTTAATGCTTGAGTTTAGTTAATTGAAGTTTGATTCTCACCAACAATTTAAAAAAAATTCTCCATTCCCCAAAAATCCACCCATGTTCAAAAAAAAAAAAAAACATCATAACTTAAACTTACTAATTTCACCATACAAGCCCTTGTTGCATGAAATACCAAGGTGGGTTCTTAATTCTATTAAAGTGGCCCACATCCAGTGTTGATTTGTATTTAGAAAAAAAAAAAAAAAAAAAAAAAAAATAAGTATTCATTCTTTTTTTTTTTTAACATATTTGCAAGGGGCGGGTTT